GGAATAGTCTACATACATAATTGGGGGTTGCCTAATGCACACCCAGAGCATTTTTGACATAGAAGACAACAGGATAACCACTATCACCTGAGAGAACCTCAGTTTTGGGATTGTGCCATGTGTCTCGAGAGAGCAAAAAATGTGTGACATGAACAGCCACTGAGAGGTAGAAATGAACATGCTCTTCAGGAAGGGAAATGTTGTTTGAGGTGAAATCATACTACATAGTACTTTGCAATAATAATAATAAGGTTATTTGGAGTAAAAGATTGGGATGTTCACAAACTTCGAAACAAGGCATGTAAGGAGTCCCACAACGCTAGGAATTTCTGCTTTGATGCTATTTTACAGTTATGTGGAAATGGATTGTCTTGCATTAAAGTGGGGGAAGGGCATGGCAAGTTGAATAATTGCATCTTTAGATGTGAGACCCTGATCGTTTCATAATTATAAGGAGCGATCCTTGATATATGCCCTTAAACTGAAGTCTGAGCAGCATAGTATGAATGCATAATCAAACTACATCTTACATATTTTGGAAGAAAATGTTAAGTTGATCGCAATTCCACTGCCATACCAGTAATTCTGGCATAATTTTTACTAAATGATTAAAACTAGATTGCAGTTAGGAAAATTAAACTGTACATAATGTGCATAAAAAGTCTTTTCTTTGTATTGTAAATTATTTGATAGAACACATGATGGGAAACATGGCTTCAGTGCATTTTGTTAATTAAGGCTACCTCCTGAAATATAACAGCTGCCAGTAGCAGAATGTTTAAATTGTGGTTTATATACTTTTTTGCATTGTAAATAAACATTGGTTGTACATTGTTGTTGTAATAAAACCAGAAGCTTTGTATATCGAAATTATTTAGCTTGTACAAAATATGGGATGCTATCAATCTCGTATACTGTAATTTTTGTAAGCCTAAATCATTCATAGTAAAATCAAAGAAAATCAAAAAGCACGAGAGAAGTATCCTAGAGTTTTGTGTGTTTATACTTTATACCTCTTAAATTCAACTTACAGGTTTAAAATGAAAATTCCTGCTGGAAATACTTAATTTATGGTGTGCATGAGTAGTGCTAACTTTGTAATGTTGCTATTGGTTAGGAAACAAACAAAACTTGCCCACAGATGCCAAAATCAACCAGTGTGATAAATATTCACCCTAACCCAGAGTGCTGTCTGTGCTAAGATGCATAGAATTGTAATGTTTGCTTTCCTGGCCATTACTACAGATATATTTGGTGCATGTAGAACTGCTATCTCTATTAGAGTGACTGGGGAAGCCTGTTTTGTGCAATAGCTCTACATGTGTGTTGAAATCTCTTCTATCTGCAAGGATTAGTTTCTGCTACAGAAAAGTAGGGTTTGAAAATGATATTGCCAACTGAAATGAGGCTCAGTTGTGTAACTACCAAATCAATTTTAAGTTTAAATTCTTAGTTTATAATAGGATGTTATGAATGTTGGAATCTTTTAAAAGGTGTTATATTAAACATACACACATATACACTGAATATGTTGCTGAAAAGTATTTTTGTGGAATTCATGAGTTACAACTTTTATACAACTATTTATGCCAGTGATGTTCATGTGAAAAGAAATCCGTTTCTTCATCAGTATTTGACAAATTGCATATCTTGGTTTATAGGTATTAGACATTCTGCATTTCAAAGGAAACTCTAAATTTCACAAAATACATAGCCCTGTTTTACAAAGGTGTTTCTATTTATAAACGTGCCTACATTAATAGGCTATTGCATAAAACTTGTTTCAAAATAGAGTTCCCTCAACCATTACTGAAAAAAATTGCTTTAGGTAGCTGTTGTTACACAGAGAAAATGTTAAAATGACATTTTCACGTTCTCACATTTTATATTCAAAACATTTTAAAAACAAAATTCTCTTGTATACTCTGATATTGAAGGCTTTAGTTGTCACTGAAAATAGCTGAGATCACAAGTAACTCCTCAAGGACTTTAAATGTTTAAAAAATGGTTCACCAGGATCTTGTCATATTCTCTCCTATGTGTGTAGAAAAACTTTTTTTCCTGGGTTGTAATCACATTGTTGCATAATGGATGGCTAGATGTTCTGTGAATGAAATCCTTAACAACAATCTTCTCAACAGCACTTTAAAATGTTTCTGCTTGTATATTGATACACTACAGGTTGCACTGCTTAAAAGAGCAGGCTTTTCATGATTCCCATAACAAGGCAGTGAGTGCATAATGTTAAAACCACAATCCACTCCAAACAAAAGTTGCAATCAATTGAGCTCCATTTTAATAAGTAAATGAAGTGAAATCATTGTGGAATAATAGGATAATCATATGGGGAATTTGTGTATAACACAAGAGTTTATCCACTTATCAGATTTTAATATAAAATATGATGCTTATGATCAAAATAGTGCATATGACAAAATAAAGGGAGGATTTGCAGGGCACGTTGTTGCGTGGGTGGTGCCAGTGGGGGCAGGGGGCAAGCACCCTGCAGACAAGAAGCTTGCCTCTCCCATTTTTAGACTCCTGTCATTAACATGTTGGGATAGCTCAGTTGGTAGAGCTGTGACTCAGTCTCAGGGTCTTGGGTTTGAACCCCATGTTGGGCCAAAGATTCCTGCGTTGCAGGGGGTTGGACTAGGATGACCCTCGTGGCCCCTTTCACCTCTTACAAATCTGATTCTAAATACACTGGCTATTTTTCTTTTGGATAACTTAACATGTAGGACATAACTTGCCCACCTAGAAATATAATTTGACTTCTGTGTGCCACCATGGGTGGGGGTTTTTTTTAGTAATAATTTTGTACTACACTGCCATAGATTAGAGATCTGCCTCCCTCTATCACTGCACTTGTGTAGTCTTGAATGGGGTCTGAATATGCTTGGAGAGGGCATAGTAGCTGCCTAGCAGTATGACTTCCTTTGTCCTAGTAAATTGTCAGACGAGGGCCACAACACTGGCAGAATAGCTAGTTCCCAAATTGCATCCTTTTCCATTTGCCTGCTTTATCTCTAGCATTTAAAGCTCATTTTACATGTGACACGGACTGTGTAATAAAACTTACCCATGCAGCCTTCTACTCAGCTACTGACTTGCTCAAAGGAGATCTCTTCCAATAGGTATACATCATTATTACTGCAGAGGATGATGGCCTAGGCCGGTGGCATGATGGTGGGTTAAGTCATACCCCTGCCTGCTGAAGACCTAGAAGATTAACCAGATGCTGTCTAAGGAAGTCTCTTGCTGTTGCTACAATTAAAGCTGGACTAAGGGTGATTTCTGCTTAGGCAAACATAAAATCAAATACTGATGGGTTCCCAAATTGGGGACGCCATGCATTAGTTACTTATTCCTGAACTGAACATACCTATTGATTTCTATTATAAGCAGAGATTGTGAAGCAGTTGTACTTGTTCCCACAGCTATTGGTGGGCACTACTGGCATTGCATGATGCCTGCTGATTTCTCAATGCTCACTATAATTTTCTATACAACATCATAGCCTCCAACATTTCTCTGATGAAAATAGGGACATCCTATTATTTATTATTATTACTTATTTATTTATTTATTTATTTACACCACCCATCTGACTGGATTACCACAGCCACTCCTGGCTTTCTGCTGTATTATATTGTCGGTTCCAGAATCCATTGTACCAGTTATGCCCTGAGATAGTGCTGAAAGGAATTCTGAGCCTGTGTTTTTATTTATGGATAAAAGGCAGCATACAAATTTAAACAATAATAGGTGGTGGAGCTGGAAAGTGACACCTGTTGCCCTGGAAGATGGTCTTCTTAATTTAAGTTTCCCAACTGCAGTAAAACCCACCCAGCATAGCCGCCAGTGCTGAGGGTCCCACCCCTCCACATCCCCTGGGTCCCTGCAAAGTGGCCAAGCTTTGAGAAAGATCTATTTAAAAATCCAGCGTTACTCGGTTTTATTCCTCACTGGTATTTTCCACTGAATGGTTTTTTAAAAAAATAAATGCACCTGTTTTTTGTGGATGGGTATCTTGGCTCAGCATATGCAGATTTCCATCTCTTAATCAGGGCCGGATTTAGGTTTGATGAGGCCCTAAACTACTGAAGGTAATGGGGCCCTTTATATGTCCAGCTGTCCTTTGTCAGCAATATCTGCTATATGGTAATTCATGGACCTAATAGGTATCTAAAGTCATTTGCAGATAACAAATAGGAGCCTACACAACACAAAACACTGTTGCTGTATGTAGGTTTTATTCTATTTATTTTTTATCTTACATTTTGGAAATATACAGAGTTTGGTTTTTTCCTTTAATTTTTTTAGAGGGCCCCCAAGAGAGTGGGGCCCTAAGCTATAGCTTGTTTAGCTTCTACGTAAATCAGTTTAGTCATTTTATTGCGCTGCTGGTGGCTTGTCCACCGGGACAAGAGGCAGCCCGACACGCGCTCCTTATGGTTCCGCATATTCTGAGCCCTCAGCTCTCCTCCTACTAAAAAGAGCTGCTCGGGCCGAGGCCGGGCCTTCGCCAACTCCAGGCCCGCGCGTGGCTGAGGGCGGGGGCGTTTCTGAAGGAACAAACCATAGTGACGGAGGCGGCGGGCATTGTTGAGGTAATTCAACCAAGCGACGTGGGGCGGGGCTGTGGAAGGGAGGCCGTTTTAGTGTTTCGTTTTGTTTTACTAATTTCGGGAAAGCGAAAAGAGGAGAGTAGACGCGGGAGGAGTAGCCGGGCCCGACTCCCCTCTCTTTCTGAGGACAAGAGAGCGGTGAAAGAGGCCCTCAAGGCGCGCAAGCGGGCCGCCGGCGTCGCCGTTGCCATGGCGCCCGTTGCGCGTAGTGGTTGGCGGAGTGGGCCGCGCCGCGGGGACCGCTGGGAGCAGAGCAGGCGCTGCGAGTTTCAAAGCGGCGGCCTCAGGTAGAACGGCGGCTCTCCCGGCTTCGCTGTCCTCGGGGCGGTTGGGGAGGGAGCGCGGCGGCGGCAGCGGCGGCGCCTTGGGGGAGGGAGGTGCGGCCAAAGGCCTCGGAGGGGTGGAGGCCGGGCCGAGCAAGGCCTAGTAGTTGGTCCCTGGGGAGCTGAGGAGGTGGGAACAAAGAGGTTGAGTCCGGAGCTCCCTCAGGTGCGGAAGGCGGTCTTTGAGAAATGCCCGCCGCTCATTCTCACGTTCCTTCCTAGCAGGTCCGTGTCAGCGCCATGCCCACCTCCGTGCCCCCAAGTAGCAGGCGGGGGGCAGCCTATTCCACCCCACCCTCCCCTGCTAGCTCCGACGACGAGGGGGCCGGCAAGTCTTCCTCTTTCTCCCTGATCTCTCCGAGTTTCCACGGAAGTTTCCACCGAACGAGGCAGGAGGAAGAGGCAACACCAGCTAGCAGGGGATCAGGCATCCCTCAAAGGATTAAACAGCATAGGTAACGTGTCGACCACCCGTGCTGCAGCTCTTAGGCCCTGCTCAAGGATTATTTTTGTTGCTCATTATGTTTACATACAGTAGACCTGCAATTTACACACATTTCGCTTGTGCACTTTCAGCTGTAGGCACTTGAGGAAAAAATTAGAAAGGGTGGCTGCCTGGGGAAAATTTGGCAGTTCCACCTGCTATTGCACCCAATGTGTTTTCACTATATTGATTTTGGCGTTATGCACTATTGTCAAAACATAACCCCCAAGTAAGTCACGGGTCTGCTGTACTTATTACCTAATACCGAAGACCGTCCCTGCGTGTTTACTGAACAGCAAATGCAATCTGTGCAGCAGTGAAACTGAGATACTACAGTATAATACAGTGCAATATCACATAAAACTACAGTACTGTGCAATAAAGCAATTAAAGGTAAAAGTACCCCTGCCCGTACGGGCCAGTCGTGTCCGACTCTAGGGTTGTGCGCCCATCTCACTTAAGAGGCCGGGGGCCAGCGCTGTCCGGAGACACTTCCGGGTCACGTGGCCAGCGTGACAAGCTGCATCTGGCGAGCCAGCGCAGCACACGGAAACACCGTTTACCTTCCCGCCAGTAAGCGGTCCCTATTTATCTACTTGCACCCGGGGGTGCTTTCGAACTGCTAGGTTGGCAGGCGCTGGGACCGAGCAGCGGGAGCGCACCCCGCCGCGGGGATTCGAACTGCCGACCTGACGATCGGCAAGTCCTAGGCGCTGAGGTTTTACCCACAGCGCTACCCGCGTCCCGGCAATAAAGCAATACAAGCCTTTAAAAAATATCTCTGCCTTGAACCCACTGGAATAGCAACACCTTTCGAACTGTATATCATACCGACATGAAAAGTGTTCTGCATGAATAATTCCCCCGGATTGTGGTTGGCAGACTTGACACATGGGTTGCACAACTAGGGATTTGTGGCACAACAGGAGCTGGAGGATCTGTGGAGCTGGCTATGATGTAGCCAGGTGTCACCTTCCTGTCTGGGTAGTCAATAGACTACATGCAAAATCAGACAAGGCACTGGGGCCTTCTGTGTACCTTAATTCATTTTAGACTAGTATTATATTATATTATGCTTTGCCTTGGCTTATAGCATACTGGTCAAAAAACTGATCACTGTGGATTTACATAGATGTTGCATACTACATTCTACATAAAAATGCATTAGGTATATGATAGTTGTGCTTGAAATTGTTCTTTTAGTGTTAGTGCAGACCTCCCTTGTTGTTATTCATATAAGGAAAGCAGCCTGAAACAGATGTGGGCTGTGAGAAAGCATGTGTGAGTAGAAATAGATTTGGATTTCTGTTCTCATCCTGAAGCAAAGTTCTTACTCCGAGATACTATTTATGGGTTAGCGGAGTCTGTAACCTGAAATGTATGTAACCTGAAGCGTATGTAACCCAAGGTACCACTGTATTCCTCTTTGGGCTCTTATTAAGCCACAGAAAGCCTGGGTATTAAAATAATAGAAAGCAACAAGACCTCCATTCAAGGCTGGCATGAAGAAATAGTGAACCTGCCATCTTATTTTAATTTATTTCCCAACATTTATATACCACTTGATTGTAATGAAACTTGAGTTGACAAAAACAGTAAAAGTATCAGTAAAAAAAAGTATTTAAAATATTCAAAGAATGATTAAAATCAGCAATAAGATAAAACCAGATTAAAACACCCAGCTAGTATGTTACCTGCAAATAGTAATATTTAGTAATTCTTTCTCTTATCCTCCCTCCAAAAAACCCTGTAGGAAATATTGCTAAAGATATTTGAGTGTTCCTGGTCTAAGTTCCATTACATATTAACACCATACCCCTAAGCACATTTGCTCAGAAGTATTCTCAGGGAAAGATGGACTAAGATCTTTTAAAATTTAAAAATGCTATGAGACACCAATGCCTCATTTTTTTCTATTTAAAAACTAAGCTAAAATAGTAAATATTTATTTAACTTTTCTTGTATATTGGTATTAGAAAGTCTGTCAAAATGAATCTTTGTCCGGGCATTAGTGAGAGTATTGTATTTTCTATGGCATGTTTATATCAAAGGTAATAGCTTTGATCTTCGACACAGAATAGCTTTGATCTTGAACATACTTTCTCATACTTCTGAAATATTAGTTCAGTGTACAGTGTATGTTAAATGGGTAATACAATATGTTGCTGATTTGTAGACCTCATTAAGTAGTTTGTCTAGTTGACTAATTATTAAATAGATTTGAAAAATAAATTCATAAATTGTGACTCTTTTAGAAAACACAGGAATATGAATACACTGGCTATTTCAAAAAGAGCCCAGTGACTTTCAGTAACATTTTGATGTTGAAACCTTGCCAAGCAATGCTACATTATGTAGACATAGCCCACCTTGCTATGTCACAAAGCCCCCAGTTAGTACGTTATAGCTCAGATAATCCTGAGTATTGTATGTGTGTGTAGCTTGTCACATAAAACTGAATTTAGTTATTTAAGAACTATATTCATAAATTGAAAGTCTTTATATATGAGATTATACCATAAATGTAATTATTTAATGATATCTGATTCCCACCTATCCCCAGGCCTTAATGGTTAATTATCTGGTTTAGTGAACAGGTTGCAGTCCTGAAATGCATTTTTCTGTGCTGCTTTTGATAGGCTTTCCTCACTGTGCCTACCAGCAGTGGCGTAGCGTGGGGGGTGCAGGGGTGCCCGGCCGCACAGGGCGCAACATCTGGGGGGGGGGCGCGGAAGAGACTCGAGTGCTAAAATCCATGGATTAGGGGGCGCAAATTACTTGCCTTGCCCCGGGTGCTGACAACCCACGCTACGCCACTGCCTACCAGTGTCAAATAGCTTCTTAGGTTCAAGCTACATCTTAAGAACTATGCAAGTCAATTTCAGTCTCTTTGTATAAGTGAAATGAGGCTCTGTGATTACAAGTTTCAACAGAGGAATATATTTCCTTTCTTACTGCTCAAGTTGTTCTCCAGCTGCTTTTCTCCCCTTGGGGAGAGGATTTTAAACAGAAACACAGCAGAGAGGATTAATCAGTGTCTTTCTTTCCACCTTCCCATTTTGCTCCTCCCCAGCCTCTAATTGTGGCCTTAAATATAAAAGTCAAGAGACCAGTTGCATTTCCATACTGTATTTTACTTTGGTTTTATGGTTTTATTTTGTACTTTAATATTATTGTATGCCATTTAGAGAGCTTTGCTATTGTGCATCATAAACATGCTTGTAACTAAGAATAATATTGATACAGTTGTTAAAATGATGTTAAACTGTACACTCTAGATGGTACTGCCTTTGATAATGGTTTGGAAACTGTAGTTAGTACAAATTCAGAATGTGGTATTTACATTCTTAACTGAGACTTTGTGTTATGATACTTGTAGGCAAGTATTAATCAGGTTGTATTGTTTACTGGTCCATATCTGGGCCCAGTTTTTGGTACTGGTCTTGACTTTTGAAGCTCTTCACAACTTAGGATCAGGATCAGACTGATTGAAAACTATATTGTCTCCATGTGGACTGTTTACTTGTGCTTTAAGATCTTCAGTAGATGGTATTATGTCAGTGTCCAGCTGTCTGAGGCATAGTGATGGCTATCAGGAGATGGCCTTCTTTGTAGTGGGTCCATAATCTAATGGTCTCCTCAAAGAAGCTCACCTAGTGCCTACTTCTTTGTTGTTTCAGCATGAGGCCAAAGTCCTTTTATTTTTCTAAATCTTCTAGTCAAAACCATAGTCCTTCAGATGTTTTTTACTTGGTACCTTTTAATTCTACTGTTTTTCCACTGCTGGAATACTTTGTAGGTTAACTGTTTTTGTGTTTTTAAATATAAACTTTCAGACATTTTTATTGAAGGACATTATAAAAGTATCTTAAATATTATACTTTGGTCCTTGTACTTCAATGAATTTTAAAAGTAGTTTGTCAGTTTTAGGAATTGCTCCCAACCATACTGTACAAAAGAGGAAGATGTACATAATAAGACATCTTTGATACCATTAGCTAGTAAATGGCATTCCCATAAAACACTGTCTAATTTTGTACCTGTCACTTCACAGTGCAGACCATTTTAAAGATACAAAAAGGAAAACTCGGCCAATTGTGGAAGAAAATCTCTCGCCATGGGAAGAGTGGTTCCTTTCCAAAGAGAAAGAGTTACGTGCTCGACTACAAGAACGAGCTATGAAGGTGAATACTTAATATAATTTACATTTGACAGCAGATTGCCAGGCACCAAAATGTACATTTCCCGTATTATTTGAGAAAAACAGATTTGGATGATTTATATTGCTTCATATATTGCTAACTGAAGCCATTCACTGGGTGTTGCCACTGTCACATGCTGACAGCTTCTAGGAGCAACAGCTGAGAACTGATTGCGGGGTGGGGTGGATGAGGACCAATGATGGACAAACTACTCAGAAAAAGCACGACATGTCACTCACCAGAAATATTGCTGTTAAAGACAACTTCAGCCCTTTATACATGAAGAAGTGTCTCCAGCCCCATCGTTCCCCCTGTGGAATGCCCTCCCATCAGATGTCAAGGAAATAAAAACTCTCTGACTTTTAAAAGACACCTGAAGGCAGCCCTGTATGGAGAAGGGCTGTTTGATGTTTTACTGTGCTTGATATTTTAATTTATTGGAAGCTGCCCAGAGTGGCTGAGGCAAACCAGTCAGATGGGTGAAATAATAAAAAAAAATAGTAGTAGTAGTAATGTTTTGTTGTTGTTATTATAGGAGGTGAATCAGGAAAAGGAGAAAAGGAGGGAAAAACAGGAACGCGAAATAAAAAAAAAGCTGGCTGAAGAGAAGCACAAAGAATGGGTCCAGAAAAAAAATGAAGAGGTGAAAAGGGTGAAGAATTTCATGGCCTTTTTCTTAAATAATGTCTTACATTTTTCACATAGCCAGTTATTTCCTTTTTATGTGTACTTGGCCTGGTCTAGGAATAACATAAATTACCAAGCTATCATAAACACTGTTGGATTTCATGCTAATACAGATATTTTTCCCCACATTTTTTTCATAGTTCAACAGGAATGAATTGCATACTTAGTCTCCAGGGGTCTGTGCTTAAAGCTTGACACCTATAATGTCAGTGGCAGTAATTAATACGAGTTTATTAAATGGCAGAGTATCTGAGCAATCCTACAAATGTCTATTCAAAAGAAAGTTCCATTAAATGATGCTAATTCCCAAGACTGGGTTGAGGACTGTAGCCTTAGTATTCTTCTAGCTATTTTTAATATCAGTAGGCACATCAGTCCTATTCCATTCTGTCCACTTTCAGCATGGAAGCAGACTTAAGTCTACTTCATCCTGTTTCTATACGGAAAACAAAACTACTCATAGGGTGGTCCAGGGGCTACCTCTGAGTCTGTTTTCAATTTTAAAGGTAATTCCATGTAGGGAAACCATTATTTATTACAGTCTCCCTGAGAGTGACGGCATGTCATAAATTCTGATGACTCCCAGTTTTGCTATTTTCAATGCACAACAGCAAGAGAGGATGCTCATGTTCCAGATGCTATTCAGGTGGCTGGAATTACCATTAAAAAATGAAAATAGACTCGGAAGCAACCCTCAAACACATCTTGTTGTGGAACCTGTAGGAATGTTGATTCCAAAGTGGACTCCAAATCCAGTCTGCTTATTGATCCAGGTGGTTCACATCAGGTGAGTCTGCTTAAAACCAGTTTGTCAGTTCTACTCCATACCTCCTTTTGAATAATGAAAAGTTATATTAGACTGGTATTATGTCTGGTTGAGATTCAGAGTAGTCTTACTGTAGATATTCAAAACAGATTAAAAGCATACCGGTTTTGAGAATATGTATGCTAATAGTAAATAGTCACCAGGTCACAAACCTTATTTTAGTGCATACTTTATTCTATAGATATGCAGAGCTAAAGGAACGTTTGTCCTTTCAGTCCACCACTTCCTCACCATATGCAAGAACAAAAAGGTTTTGGCACAACATTATTTAAATAAATTATAAGCTTGCCCTTTGAATCAAAGTGTGGTAGTTTGAGACTAGAATCAATTAGACTGACCAAGTGAAAAATGTTAACTCTTACAGGGTAAAAAGTTAGTTCAGTTTGAAAGTAGATGAGCTTAGGTTAATATACTCTTTGCATGTTGTATTTTATCTTGGTGGCTAGCCATTTCAGGCAACATTGTGTGGAAATGTGGGATATACATTTAAATAATAAATCAGTAATAATACCTACAGCAGCACAAGTACAGAAATGTTTGTAAAGAAGCACCTTATGAATAGGTGCACCAATTTTATTGCTTCCTAAGCTGCTGTCACCAGCTCACAGAGGAGGTTGACAGTGATGTGGGAAGTAACCACTGCTCCTTCAGGGTTGCATGTGGTACTCCTTTACAATGATTCACTAGTGGCATGTGATTGGACCATGCTACAGCAGATCCCAGCAGATCGGCATACCAGTTGTTGGAAACCACAGGAGGGGAGGTTGCTCTTGTGTTCTGGTCCTGCTTGTGGGCTTCCCATGGGCATCTGGTTGGCCACTGTGAGAACAGGATACTGCACTATATATTTTTTCCCACAGACTCTTCATATGTTCTTACATGTACTTACTAGTATCATAGAACAGTGACATCTGTTTAAACCATAGTAGTATAAACACTTCAAGCCCTGATTTAATTATTGTCAAGTTGGAGAAGCTGATACTAGCAGATGAGGTGTACAGTGCATGTTCAAACAGGGAAGGACAGTTGAATGAATTATAATTTCCTCATGACATAGAATGGCATCTGAATAAATGCCAAGCAAAATGGTTAGCAGGATTATAGAAAAGGGATAATGACAAAGGTATTTGGTTTATGCATTGCTTCAAATCACATTAGAGGGTGGGGTAAGTTTTGTAAAGGTTTTTCTTAAGAGAAGAATCTTAATACGGTCTGCTCACCCTTGAATATCTTGGCCCAAACTACTTTCATCATTTATAATATAACCACCTCTCTGAGAACTCGGAGTAGTGTACATGGTGTCATCCCTTTCCAGCATTGCTTGTGTATCAATTGGCTAGGTTGACAGCTATTGACTCAATGTATCTTGGGGAGGTTCAAGGCTGAACCTGTGACTTAGCAGTTGAAGTCCCAACACTCCAGCCACTACACCAAACTTACTCTTCTTTACGTTTTGTATAAAGGAAACTAGTAGGCACAGGAAAATAAATGAAAGCGTTCTTAGTGCAGTGTTGAAATTCTTTAAAACAGTAATGTGTAAGTCAGTGGAATCATTACTGTTTTATTAATCTGATCTTTTTTTCTTTTCCTTATTTATTAAATTTCTATACCACCCTTCAAGGATCACAGGGTGTTTACAATATAAAAATACATACAATATTAACAAACTAGCCTGGTATATGTATGCATTGCTGCTGTTTGCAAGTGCCACTGTTTGCAGTAATGAATGTTTGTAAAGGGTAGAAGGTATTGTAAAGGTATTGCATTATCCCCCCAATCCTTTTAAGTTTTTGATTGAAATAAAGTTGAAAAGGGGTATGCCTGCAAGCTTCATTTGTTTGTATTATCTCTAATAATGTTCTTGGGTGGAGTAGTGGGAACTGAAGTCTTTCATCCTAAGGATAACTGGTATTTTTAGAATAAATTAATTTGACAGAACTCTGTGATTGTCAATGGCATTAAAGGGTATATAAACTCATCAGTAATTTAAAAAAATAGATCGTATCACTAATGAAGACAAGATCAAAGCATTTTTTCTGAGAAGCAGACTGAAAACACATATGTATTTTGAAGTGTAGACATGACAAATATGTAGCTTTCTAGTTCTTTTTATCAGGACCAAAAACTCACTGAGGTAATGGGCTGTCTATGCAAGTCGTATTTTTCTCTTAACTAATAAATTGTGGAACAAATAAAACTTTAAACAACATTTAATATGATATTAATCATAGAAATAAATAGGCAGAATTGAACCAGGGTCTCCATGCCAATCAATCTGAAACAAGCCTGAGCAGTGGGAAGAACTTGATTTAGGGCCTGACACACCCTTTTATGTTCCAGCCTGTGTTCTGGGTTCCCCTTGGCTAATCTGGGCATAAGGCGCTTTTCCAAGAAAAGGTGAAGCCAAGCAATCTAGGCGGTCTCTTTCATGAAGCACAAGTACATTGGCAAATGCTTATTTCACAAACCAGTTTATTAATTTACAGGGAACATAAAAACTCACAGCATAAAAAAAATACTTACACTTTTATTGAAGATTGTCAAAGGCAGCTAGAGCTTTCCGTTATTTAACTGGTCCTTTTGTTGATAGTGTCCAGAGGTTGCTGCATGGAGTTATTTGTAGTTGCCCATGCTTGGCCTAGCTGCAGGTAACTCATCTCTTCATCTGGATAACCATCTACAAACTGGTCATATCTCTTTCACTGTAAAAAAACAACACAAACAACAACAACAACAACACACACGCAAAGAAACCACCAACTTGAGTAATCATATCAAGACTTTCATACCACCTGTGCAACATTCATGTGAATCAGTAGTGTCAGTACAATGGGAAAGCACAGTGTTTCCAGATACCAGGAGCTATTCACATTTGAGCTGAATGCTGCAAGAAGAATGACAGAAGGCACCTATCTGGACCAGTGAATTACCTTTATCTGGGTTTTACCACTTCAGTAGGTCAGGTTGCCCATAAATACTTAGCGTACAAGAAAAAAAATCTGCAAATAGAAAACAAGGATATGAGGGGAAAGGGTTCTAGTCTAGTCAACTTTTTGTAGGAGTTGTTATTACTGCTCTCTCTTAAATGTTTTCTATTATTATCTACAGGAAAAACGGGAAAGGGAACTTAAGCTCAGCAAAGAGATGGCAGAAAAAGCAGCCAAAGAACTTGAGAGAGCACAATCAAAGGAAAAGTCGCGAGAGATGTATCAGGAATGGCTAAAGAAAAAGAAAATGGAAGAAGGTCAGAAGAAGAAGGAAGAGAAGGTAACTTTTATCCCATTTTTTCATTTGAAGAGATGCTGATCTGGTTTTGGTTGCTCTTAGAGGTGTAACCCACACATAGTTCTCATCTGGAATGAGTTCCCGTTTTGAGGATTTTTCTTATCCTCTACTTTGCAGCTTGGGTTACTTGATGAATTTATTTGTATAGCTTTGTTGATTAAGTTAGTCTTGGAATCATAGAGAAATTTATAGCATACTGCATGTGCAATATTGTAATCGAGATATCTTTCAGAGGGATTAATGGTGATGAAGATGTATCCTAATGTGAGGAGTAATCCGTTTTTGTTTCAGAAAAGGGACTGGGGTACAATGAAGCTTGTGAACGTTGCAGTGTTATCGAAGTTTATTAAATGCACACTTCATTTTCTAGCTCCCCTTCATGGTATAACTGTCATTCACAGCTACAAAAGTATCACAGGATTTCTAAAAGAATTGTGTTTTTGTTCAACTGGCGCCAAACAGTTTGTAGATTTTGCAGATATACGGATATACCATTCTCTGAAAGTTGTATTTTTAAACCAACAACATATCTTGTTGGACTGATATTATGATGCAACTGAAACATGTTACTCCATAACAATATTAATAACAAAATTCATATAGTGTTTTTTGATTGTTCACAGCCTTCCACCCATGTATCATGTCAGTAATCTGGACGCAATGCAAGGGGTTGGTTTTGACCTTTAAGGTCCTTCACAGCTTGGGACCAGGCTAGCTGAAGGACTGCCATTTTCCACATGTACCTACCTGGACCCTGAGATCTTCAAACATCCTTCTCCAAGTGCGCCCACTGAGTGAGGTGTGGCAGGTGGCTATGGGAGAGGGAACCTACTTGGTGGTAGCACCCTAGATGTGGGATGTTATACCCAGAGAGGCTCACCAGGCACCTGGTTTATTCTCATTTTGGCACCAGGTGAAAATCTTTTTTTATTTTCCCAAGCCTTTTAATCTCTTTTGGCATTAAGGTGTTTTAACTCTACAACTCATTTCTTTAAGCTGTATTTATACTTCTAGTATCTTATTACTGAATTTTAAATTGATTTCTTTCTCGATTTATGCCTCCCTGAGAACTTTGTTATAGGGTGTCCTCTAAATACTGTAAATAAACTCTTCTTTAAGGTAGGTCAGTAACATCTCCATATTACAAATTGTAGAACTTAAATAATAGTGTTCACCTGGTGAATTCGTTGCTGAGATTACATTTGAATTAGGGAGAGGATGCTTCACTACACTGTGTCCTGATAGTACATTGGTGGCCTTGTTTTGTAAATCATGAAAACATACATGAAACTTTTGAAACACCAAATGTATAAACCAGCCAAAATGAGAGACTTTAAAATCTTGTTTATGTCAGTGTTGGAATTAGAACATGAGTTTAAATCTTTCAAATTCAAATCAGTAGGACTTACAGGTGCTTAACTATAATTGGATTGTACCCAGAGAAATTGGTTACAGTAGTGAAGTAATACATTTGGAAGAAGACAGTTGTATTAAGACATTTTGGCATTCTGCTCTTTTCCTTTTGTAGGAGAAGGAAAAACAACGGGAAGCTGAACTACAGGAGAAAAAAGAAAAATCAGAGCAGATGTTCAAAGAATGGCTGCAAAATTCCAAAACTAAGCCCCGCCAAGCATCAGCTGGCTGTGCCTCTGCAGATGGGAAAGATACTGGTTTGTATCTGTACTAGACAGACTAATACAGTCTTCATAACTTGTGTAGCAGGAGCAGTTTTCTGATACTTTTACTATTTATTTTTGAATATTTTGTTTTAAATGTTCATCTGCTAGAACTCTAGCCATAGATGTGGATACAGACAGGCCACAAACAGTAGATGTTGCCCCACATTAAGGAATGTGTATATTTGGTCCCATTCCACACCCCAAATAACTCAAGATTATATCATTGGAAATCTTCTACTTTTGAAAGCATTCATTTTGGTCAGTAGAGTTCAGTAAAATATACTGGCACATACATTCTTGTTCTTTGCAGTGCCTATTCTTCCAAGAATGCTCTTCTATTCATATATTTATTAAATGTTTAATCTGCCTTTATACTGATTAACATCTTCCAGAGTTGATGGCAGCCTCCTCAATTAGAGAAGACTCCTTGCTGCAGAAGTTTAAGCTAAACTTGTGAGCATCTGACAGAAGCCATGCAGTGCTGAGGGGAGCAAAAAGCAGTTCCATAGTTTCTTTGCACTCACTTTTTCTCTTCACATGAGTAATGACTGAAGGGGGCTAAAGATTATGGTTTCTGCCTGCACCTAAAACATTGGGCCTTATCGTCAAACCTTTCAAGGCAAATGTAGCCACCACCTTTGAGACAGATTCATAAGTTTGGACCTCAGCTCATGCTAGGCCTATTGAAGGTTTTACCAATGAAGAAAATTGGCCTCTCTCATATCGGCCCAGATCTAATTTTTGTGCAGTGTAGAAGTTGTCTTTGGGTAGATATCCTGAGTCAAGTTATGCAGGCTTATGCCCTGTTGAAATCAGTTGGCCTGACACCATGTGCATGACTCCAGCCTGCCTACCCACCCTTGATCCTATTTTCAATAAAACACATCCTGTTACAGCCAGAAAAGCATATTTGTTGTTTCTGGCCTTTTTTTTTTTTCTAGAAAAAAATAAGCATACTTGTCATTTAAATGACATTTCTTTCATAGTTATTTGCCAAATGTGTTGCACTTATAAAAATGTTAACCTAAACTATTTTCGGGAGAGGCTGCTGTTCCTTTTGAACACTAAACAGCACACCAGACACAAAACCAGTTGCTGTTTTGCTTTGGTTTGATTATAGATAGTGGTGCATACTTCTTTCATGCTTTGTCTTGGGACATTGTTACAGTACTTGCAGACAGCTGCTGTCACTTGTCTAAGTAATTTATTAAAAATATTCTTCCCAGTTTTGTTCACAGTAGAGAACATATTCCAGACTTTGTTTTGACCACTCCAATGAAATGTATTTACATTTCTTTCCAGACAAATAGGATTGTTATGGCAAAGGCACCACATTCCTGCTGCCATAATTTAGGTATAGCCCATGCAGCACGCTCTCCTTCTCTGATAAACAGTGATAAAAATTAAGCAATGATGAAAATAAACTGACCTTTAACATTGGCATTTTGGGTAGCAAATTCAGTGCTCTCACACTGGTGAATGGAAGGAAATTGACAGAAGAGGAGTTTTGTGTCTCTTCCTGTGCCCCTGAAATTGTCTCTGGAGGGTTGGAGCATGACATAGATCGCTTGGGGAGGGAGGTCACCTAAAATTGGGCAATGCACCTTGCTCAAACCAAGCTCTACTCACACGTGATGCCTCCACCCAGTTTTGTGTGACTCCCCCCTGCTCCCACTGGCAGCCTCCTGTGCCTCATGCCACTCTGTTTAGGAAAGTTTCCTTACCCTCCAGGGAGTGATGACAGCAAAGTTCCCTTCCATGAACTTTCTTAAATTCATGGGATATCAGGATCCGAGACACTGTTCATTATACTGCTGAGATCTACAGAGTGGAAGTATATTTGTATATTTATTGTCCTGTAAATTGCCCAGGGATGTGTTAAAGACATCCTTAAAGGCCATTGTAAGGTCCAGCTGATCCCTTATTTTTTACAGACTATAAAATTGTATATAAAGTATAAGCTCTGAAAGTGAAAAAAAAATCCTGGTTCATTGAATGTAGGAAAGGAACTATGCAGACTATAACTGCTGGAAGGATTTGTAGTCTTAGATAGATGGTACATTTAAAAAACCCAAAAAACTTTTGTGTAAAATTTCATTAAAGTGACAGAGTTCTTGGGCAGAACAATCATAAGCTGGTGATGGGGGATGCTGTGCAGAGAGAGAAATCGCTACTTCCGAAGTGCTGGCAACTTTTGCAAGCCACAGGGGGAAGGGGATATATGGCTTATTTATTTATATCTATTTTGCATTTCAGTAACACTAATGAAAGAAGAAATAAGCCAACTCTGCAGATAGCGTTCTTTCTCACTTTGGGTGGAGGTGTCAGGAGACAATGGAACTTTAGACAGCTCCAACGTCTCCCTGATACAATGCTGACATCTCTCCCTGTGTCTGGTTCTGCTGTGCTTGGAGAACCACTTTCAGTAAAGCAGTAGCCGACCTTTCCACTCCTGCACATAGCAAAGCTCTGCCTGCACAACTCCCTCTTTGCCTGTAGAGAGGTGGATCTACAGCATCTTCCAGCCCCTCGGCTGCCCTCCCATGAAGCATAGAATTATCCCTGAATCTTAACTTAGAATGACTAACCCCGCAGTGTTGTCGACTCAGAGGCGAGCCTTTCTTTGTTCAATGGGTTTTGTTCATAGGTAAGTATGTAGGATTGCACCCTAAGAAACAATGTTATTGCTAATAGTTTAGATTGAAACACTGTGCTTCTTTAAACATTCCAGGCTATCCAGAAGGAAGTACATATCCAGCTCCAGCCTTTTACAATCCAGTCCCTTGGAAACCAGTTCATGTGCCTCCTCCCAAGGAAGAAAAGTATGTTTCAGTGAAGAAAAATAAGAGGCCTAAATCCAGTCACACATATAGACCTTCTATGCCTTTTCATAAATCCAAAAGCAGTCTTTATATTGGGTCATTGTGCAGAATCCAGAGATAGTTCAGGGCTCATTATTTTTATTTTAACTTGGCCTTATAGTGTAATTTATGATGTATTACTGACATTTTGTAAACAGCTATCCTTAATTGTAGGCAAATGTTTTTGATTTTCTTGTTAAAATAAGGCACGCAGGACAAAATCACTGTCATTTTAATGTATTATGTGTGATGCATTGTGAGCCATATTTTAAACAATAAAAAGTAATTATTTTCAACCTTTCCCTAATATTCTTCTACTTTAGGTACTGTATTTGCAGATGCAACTTCTAGTGCTCCTGTGCTTAGCATTGAGATTGTTGCTTTAGAAGTTTATAGTAATGTCAGAGTAAGAAGGCATATCTTTTCTAAGAGTAAGATTTTGGATTTAAGCTCATTTGGGCCTGTTAACAGCTGTGGGACTATGTGTGCTTTAATCTAACTGTACTTATGTAACCAGTTTGCAGAGTGTGACGTCAAGGAACTTTCTGATACCACTTCTGTTAAATGATTTGTGAAATGCTCCCCTTTGCTCTACTATAACCTGCTATGGAATAATCAAACAGTATTTATTTTATGTAGCACTGTTGTAGCTTTCCAGAGTGTACTACATTTTCTGCTCCTCTTGGCTCTTTTCTGGTGAATTTTAAATACTAAGTACTTCTTTGTGGATTTTTAATAAGTAAATAGTGATTTAAAAAAGGTAAAGGACCCCTGACAGTTAAGTCCAGTCGCAAACGACTCTAGGGTTGTGGCACTCATTTCGCTTTTGAGGCCAAGGGAGCCAACGTTTGTCCGCAGACAGTTTTTCCAGGTCATGTGGCCAGCATGACTAAGCCACTTCTGGCGAAACCACGGAAACACGGAAACGCCATTTACCTTCCCGCTGGAGCGGTACCTATTTATCTACTTGCACTTTGACGTGCTTTCGAACTGCTAGGTTGGCAGGAGCTGGGACTGAGCAACAGGAGCTCACCCCATGGCGGGGATTCGAACCACCAACCTTCTGATTGGCAAGCCCTAGGCTCTGTGGTTTAGACCACAGTGCCACCCATGTGTGGCTTATTTAACAGTTTTGAATACATCTTCCTTAGTGCAGTGTTTTGGCAAGCATTTTTTTAAAAAAATTATTTAAATATAAAAGTAAAGATTTCAAAAAAAAAATGCTTGTCACAATAATATAACAAAAACAATTACTAGAAAATGCAATTAATATTCTTTCTGAATCTTTTTGGCTGCTATTTCTGTAACTATGGTGCTACCTAGCCTCCTGTATATTGTGAACTATATTCCAGTCAGATTTAATATTCTTATTCAGGCTACACCCCCCTCCAAGTGGCTTGCATCTTTTAGAACCATAATCTGTTGTCTCTCAACAACAACAAAAATGTCTTCCCCCAAACTTTAAAAAGTGGTTAAAACATCTGTAGGCTTATTTAGTTATTCTTGTACAGATTGTTCCTGCTCATTCAATCCTAAATGCAGAAAAAGCAAGCCATTTCATCAGATTCTGTTCCAAACAAATAACCAGGCCTGGAGATTTTGGGTGGAAGTCATCATTGTGCTGAGGAGATCATTGCCAGCACAAGTATTTCAGCTTGCCTGATAGGAACAATCTTTTCTTGCTACATACACTGTTCTGGGGTTTCTCTTGACCCCCCCCCCCCAAGCAGCTACAGGGAGAACACATATGGATGAGAGGATGGCATGTCTCTTGCACTAGCAGAATTTACTGCGCTGGCTTCCACTAGCTCTACAATTTAGTTGAATCTGGTGCATTAGCTTTTCTGTTCCTTTAAATGTGAGATGATAATCCACCTGTAATGCCTGCTTATTCCTTTTAACACTGGGATGGGGAACCTTAGGCCTGGGGGCTAAATATGACCCTTCATGCCTCTGTCTGGTCCTCAGATTCACCCAAGCAACACCCCACATCAGCCCTGTTTTGCACCATCAAGCACTTTTGCTTGGTAGGAGTGTGTCTTTCAATGCTTCTTGCCTACCTGGTTGTACAAGGGTAAAATTCACATTTATTGCTCTGTCCACTTTTGCCTCCATCCCATGCACCAGTGGCATTTGACTCCCAGAAGGGAATGTAGCCCTTGAGCTGAAAGATTACGCACTCTTGCCATAACTTTATATCATACATTTCTGCAATTTTGATCCATTTCTTATTTTGATTCATTTGTGTGTAATAAAGGGGGGGGGGGAGAGAAGAAAGATGTATTTTCCAGAAAACAAAGTTTATAAACATCTAAATCTTTTTACCAACTAGTATATTTTTTATGTTTTTACAGTTGTTATTGTAGTACTTGGATTTTATGTTCTACTTCGCTTGTTATTTTTTCCATAAATGCAAAATTTATAGATATCTAAAAATAGAAAAACTAAACGAGAATATTTGTAATAAATATTGTCAGAGTAACCATTTTAAAAACAACAGAGTAATTCATGCGACTTCACAAAATTACCTCTATTTAAAAAACTAACCAACAATATAATTCATTTATCATTTATTTTCTAAGCAGTCATTTCAAAGAATATAAAGTTTCATAACTCAGTTACAATTTGCAATTATGAATATATAATCCGTACTATAAGCATCAAAATTAATGCTTTAAATTTAAACATGACTTTTTTTAACATTTATTATTTCATTTCATTGTCTTCTGCAGTTCATATAGCTCTGATTCGGCAACCCACCAAATAAGCAGTTCACAAGTTCTAATGCTTGTTTTCCAAGAAAGATGAGTCATAAAGAATCATTAAATCATAGTCCTGGGTCTACTCCAGCTTGGAGGGAGGCCTAGGCAAAATGCCTTTTCATAGGCGTCCCCCCTCTCAGTCAACCCTGGCAAGCTTACCTGGCAATGGGCAGCAGTACGTACTTCAAAGTGTGATCAGCAATTAGGTCAACCTGACATTTAATGCTTCCAACAAAACATTGCTTTCAGGAATTAGTGAAAACACTTAACTAGTATTGTTTGGGGCACCAAGTCAGAAATCTTTTTGGTGGTGGGCGGCAAGGGGCTGGGGCTGGCAGGGCATTTTCAAGAAGGGACCCTGATAGAGTGCTGGGGCCCTGGCATCTGCCCAAGAATGCTGGGTGCTAACATTCGCTCTGAGCAGGGATGTGCATTACTTTCCATCCTTTACTCCATTTCACTGACTTTCAAATCACTATTGAACTGATAGTCTTCCACAAATATCTGCATAAGGAATACTGTATTTTCAAGATCATGGAGACAGAAGATAACTGCTAAACAAGTAGCTGTGTTATCTCTTATTTGTATCATGCCAGTATTCAGAGAAAGGCTTCTGTTTGGGTAGTGTTTGGCTGCCTTTTAGGGATTAATTTAAATGACTGTTGAAAGCTTATTTTTAGTATGTATATTAAGCAGGGATCATTGCATTGGTTCTCGTAGCTCATTGTTTACCTGGTCTTTGTAATTGCAGAGTTTCAGTCTCAACCAAAGTTCGCCTGTTTGGGAATGATGAAGACGTGCATCGGACTTAAGGCTGTTAGTCACTAACTCCTCTGCTTCCCACAACATAGCATGCATCAAATAAAAAGAAGGCATAGCACAGCATTACAGTGAGTGGTAGCATTGATGGGGATGTGTAGACATAGGCTACTGTATATAGAGACCTGTTTACATTATTTTTCTGATAAGTAGATTCAATAAACACCAGGTCTTCGCCTCACGTTGCTCACTCCCCGTGGCTCATATGCCATGAACAAGTCTCCCTCATCTCTTTGCTGATGCTCCAAGGAGCCAAGGAGAAAGCAAAGTAATTGTGTTGTGTGATTAAGCCGTATCACATAATATACCTCCTAAAATAGCCATGTACTTGCCTTATGTGGTGATTGTTCTGGACACATTTTCTGCTATGCATAAAGTGGAATTTTCCGTTGTCTCTTAAAAGTTCTGTTTAGATCATCCAAAAACTCACAAGGGTGCTGGGCATGTGGCAAGCTCTGCAATACCCTGAAAAAAGGGCAGCTTGCATTCAAATGCTACTATTGGTGTCAAAGGTCCCTTTCCTGAAATCCTTTCTTAGTTATATTATCACACTATTTTTGCTGTAAATGCACACAGAATTATTATTTGGGCACCACCATTGATGATCTCCAGCAGGCTAGGGGCAAAGGTGAAAGCTGTTTCCTAGTTCTGCTGGATCTCTCAGCGGCCTTTGATACCACTGACCACGACATCCTTCTGGACCAGCTAGAGGGGCTGGGAGCTGGGGTTACTGTTATACAGTGGTTCTGCTCCTTCTGGGCCATGTTCAGAAAGTAGTGTTGGGGGAATGAGTGTTCAGACCCCTGGGCTCTCACTTGTGGGGTGCTCAGGGTTCCGTCCTCTCGCTCATGCTTTTTAACATCTATATGAAGCCGCTGAGAGAGATCATCAGGGGGTTTGGGCTGGGTGTTCATCAGTATGTGGATGCTCTACATCTCTCTTAAATCAGAACCAGTGAAGGTCCTGTGTGAGTGCCTGGGGGCAGTTGGAGGATGGATGGCGACTAAGGGATTGAGGTTGAATCCTGTCAAGACAGAAGTGATGTTTTGGGGGGACGGGGGGGGGCTGGTCATTTTGGACTCACAGCTGGGAGTCATTTTGGACTCACAGCTGGGAGTCATTTTGGACTCACAGCTGTCCATGGAGGCGAACGTCAATTCTGTGTCCAGGGTAGCTGTCTACCACCTCCATCTGGTACGCAGGCTGAGACCCTACCTGCCCACGGACTGTCTCGCCAGAGTGGTGCATGCTCTGGTTATTTCCCGCTTGGACTACTGCAATGTGCTCTATGTGGGGCTACCTTTGAAGGTGACCCGGAAACTACAACTAATACAGAATGCGGCAGCTAGACTGGTGACTGGGAGCGGCCGCTGAGATCACATAACACCGGTCCTGAAAGAGCTACATTGGCTCTCAGTACATTTCCAAGCACAATTCCAAGTGTTGGCCTCTGCCCAGTATACCTGAAGGAGCGTCTCCACCCCAATTGTTCTGCCCGGACACTGAGGTCCAGCTCAGAGGTCCTTCTGGCGGTTCCCTCACTACGTGATGTGAGGTTACAGGAAACCAGGCAGATGGCCTTCTCAGTGGTGGTGCCCATTCTGTGGAACGCCTTCCCATCAGATGTCAAGGAAATAAACAACTATCTGACTTTTAGAAGACATCTAAGACAGCCTTGTTTAGGGAAGTTTTTAATATTTGTTTTAATCTGTTTGGAGCTTCCCAGAGTGCCTGGGGAAACCCAGCCAGATGGGCGGGGTATAAATTTATTATTATCATTATTATTACAAATGGTAAAAAGTGTAAGGTAACGGTAACGGGACCCCTGACCATCAGGTCCAGTCGTGCCGACTCTGGGGTTGCGGCGCTCATCTCGCTTTATTGGCCGAGGGAGCCGGCGTTTGCCCGCAGACAGCTTCCGAATCATGTGGCCAGCATGACTAAGCCGCTTCTGGCGAACCAGAGCAGCGCACGGAAACGCCGTTTACCTTCCTGCCGGAGCGGTACCTATTTATCTACTTGCACTTTGATGTACTTTCGAACTGCTAGGTTGGCAGGAGCAGGGACCGAGCAACGGGAGCTCACCCCGTCGTGGGGATTCAAACCACCAACCTTCTGATCGGCAAGTCCTAGGCTCTGTGGTTTAACCCACAGCGCCACCCGCGTCCCTTGGTAAAAAGTGTAGATGTTAACAATAAGTAGGTGGTCACTGGCATTTAGCCACCCTCTCATGATGCCTTCAGTTGAGTCTATGCAGCTTTTCCATAATAATTCAGCTTACAACATACTTAAAACAACTATAAAAAGAATTAGTAGCATATCGAGGATCAAAGCATGGGGGATAAACTTATCAATGGCTTCTCATCATGACAGATCTATACATTACCTCCTATATCAGACGGTTAAGGTTCTGAATACCAGTTACCAAGAAACATGAGCCACAGAGTGCTTTTTTGCTCATGTCTCGCTTGTGGGCTTCCCATAGGCCAATGTGGGAACAAAATGCTGGACTAGATGGATCTTCAATCTGACCCAGCAGGGCTGCTCTTAGGTTTTTAAAGTCATCTCATTAAAAGAGCATAAATGTTCAACTGTAGTAAAGGCTACTGAATGTCCAAGAAAACACGTATTTTTATGTGGCATCTAAAATTCAGTAGTGTCTGAATTAACGATCACAATGAGGGAGTTCCACAACAGGGTGTCACCACCATGAAGGAACTATTTCTGGTAGCCTGACAATAACGTAGATGGCAGGGCAACCCAGGGCTGGATCTTCAGTGAAGTTTTACTCTTATCAGCTTAATAGAATGTCCTTGAGTTGTATCATAGTGTTCTGCATTTGTTCACACAATGATGTGTGTGTGCGTGCAAAATGCTAAATGTCATGACATAATTTAAACTACATGTTATGGAGGGGATATGGGTTTGAAAGCAGCCTTTTTTTTAGAGGTTGCAGCCATATGTTTACATGGCTTATTGAACTGTGAATCCAAAACAGGGATTCAAGTGTAATTTAACCTACCCTAAAAGAAAACTGAAGAAAGTGATGTTTGGAGAAGGTATATGATGTTCTTCTCAAATAACAGGACTATTCGGCCTTGGTTGGTTGGAGTTTGCTACAATTCAGCTGAACAGACAAAAGTTGGGATTCTACTTCAACACACAGATGAAGGGATGGAAAGATTTCGTCATACTGGTCTGCAGAATGTTCCTCTAAACTCATCCCTAACAGCTTAGTTTATTTTATCCAGTTAATGTGTGCTTCCCAGGTACATTATTCTTGCACTAAAATACAGCTCAGTTGATGCAAGCACATCCTGAAATGAAAGAAGGTGGTGCTCAGATACCACCATCTGGGCTTCCCCGCTCTTCCCAATACTTGTAAAATACGGAGGTGTAGGGAGCATTTACAGTCTTACTGTTTCAATAAGTGTGTGACTTAATTCTGTCTTCTCCCTCAGATTTCCTGAGGAGACAGGTACCTTATTCTATCTTATCTGTAGAATGTGTTGCATCTGGAAAGAGGCCTGTGTAAATCTCTAAAAATTGCAGCTTCAGAACGAAAGCTCTTGCACAATCTAATCTGTAGCATCACAAATGCAATTTTGTTCCCTCCTGAATAAAGTTTTAGACAAGATTGGTCATGAGTGTGCATGTTGGCTTCAGTTCAATCAACATAATGGTTTTGCTGAGCAGAGAAGAAGGAAAGTATTGTTTGGCTGGCTTCCAAGAGGATATAAAGCATGAAGAAAAATATTGCAGTTTTGAAGCTTAATTTTAAGGTTGCACACTGAAAAGTATTTGTGTGGCCTTGGTTTAAAAAAACTTCACCACCACAGTTCAGTACAGAGAAGTATTCATAAAATCTTAGTGTAAAGAAGTTGTGCGTAAATGTAAAGGGTAGGGATTGTATAGGAGCAGCACTTTTGGGATATAGTGATGTAGGAAAGTATATTTGAATGTATGTGCTGCTCTAAGATCTTTTGAATGCCTTTACCCAATTTCCTTTTTCTGCATACTTAAAATGTTTCTGGTCTTAAAAATAGGTATCAAAATAATAGTGAGGTGAGTGAGTGATGCAAAGTTTTAGGATAAAAGCAGGAAAGGGAGTATTCAGCCATCCTCAGTTTTAGTGCAACGCTTAGCTGTTATATACAATACCTTCCTCACCCATTACCTTGCTCATCTGAAACTTCTACCCCTTGCTGTGCCCTATCAGATCAGTTCCAGCATTTTCAAGCATTCTGACTCCCACTTTACTTTGGCTTCTAACACTAGACTTCAGTTTTGAGGGTGGTAGGGCAAGACCCTCTTCTCCCTGGAACTTCAACTTTTAGCCTACCTATCAATTTCTAGAGGTGGAACTTCACCTAATCTCGAATGCCCCTGCCACCAGAGAGAAGAAACAGAGGTAAGTCCCTCCCTCCCTCTCACACATTGCCTTGAGACCATTCAACTATCTCCTTTAGCACTGTCACCCCAGCTTAGTTCATGAGTCATTTTACAAATAGATCACCTTCCAATGTGGGGCTTCAGTTACCTAGTAGCATGCATTGTGCCTGTTGCTGAGGATATAGTGTGCAACTTGTAGACTACCCTTTCTCTGATACAGAGGCAATTGCTATACAAATACATACATGGAAGGATGTGAGTGGTATGCACATGTCCCACCCCAAGGTAGAGACTGAAAAACCAGTGAAGAAGCATAATCCCCAGCTGCCAGTATCACATAAGAGTTTCATTTTTAAAACCTTGGATGTTGGGTGCTTTCATTGTAACTGAAGGCCAAAGTAGACATTACATGCATGATCATATTTAATGTGTCTAGTTTTATCTTCTAAAGAATTGCAGGAGGTAGGAACAGGGTGGGGACCATAGGAAGTTGCCTTATACCAAGTCTGGTCATTTGTCCATCTAGCCCATTCCAACTGGCAATGACCGAGGTCTTTTCCTATCGTCTGCTATCTCATCCTTTGAACTAGCATGCAAAGCAGATGCTTGTACCATTAAGTTATGTTCCTGTTCATTTGCAGCAATAGAAGTTTCCCTACTGGGCCTAACGGCAGCTTTAAGGGCATTCATTCAGTCTTTATATTTGTATGCTGCTTTTCCACACACAAAGAAAAATCACACTCAAAGAAGCTTATAGCAAAGAAAATAGAAATGTGTTTCAAAACCAAACTGCAAAAACAATTCCATAATAACATAGCAAAACAACACATCAAATATAGTAACATACAAAAAACAATGTTTCAGTAACAAGTTTACACAAACAACATCCATTATCCAATAGCAAAAATAATAAGGGAGCTTTACAGCTTCACCTTGGTCCTAGAAACAACCTTCCCATGATGCTGCAGACAGTCTCTCTCTTGCAGCAAGTTCTTACAGGGTTTCCAAGGGCAGTGGGTGAGGTAGCTGGAAGTACCTCCCCCATCTTTTACAGGGGAGTGGTTTTCTTTGTGACCAAGATGGGGGGGAGAGATTAATTCACCTTCCCACTTGCCATGATCCATACTGCAATTGCCTCTGCAGCTTTTTTTAATGAATATGTCTGATTTGACCTTGAGAAAGAGTTTATCTGTTCCTTTGCATTTTTGTATGGATCTTTTTAAACATACTGAATTTACCTGCAACTGCTTAGGTAAGGCACACAGTGAATAATAATAACAATAAATTTTATTTATATCCCACCCTCCCCAGCCGAAGCCGGGCTCAGGGCGGCTAACAATAAAACAGTACAAAAGTACAGCATAAACAACACTCTAAAATCATTTATTATAAAATTAATGTGTAGACATGTGAAGTCATGTGTGCCTTATTTCATGCAGATGTGCAGACTTCTGGTCAATTTTAATGGCTGTTGAAACTTCAATTAGAATTGCCACATACTTCAAGATGATCCTAGTATCAGCAAAACTTACTTGGCAATTTTCCAATTTAATAGCCTGACTGAAGACAGATTAAATGTTAGCAGCATTGTATGTCTTTACAGTTAGTGTCGTGGATGGTGTCAGATTTGAACCAGGGAAATTTTATTTCCACTCAGCCATGAAGTTTACTTAGTGATTGTAGACCAGTCACTAGTTCTCAGTATAACCTGCCTCACAGGGTAGTTGTAAGAATACCCTGGGATAAACCCGGTCTGAACTCCTTAGAGTGGGGTAGAATCCAGATGTGATTCATAAAATATTTCTAAGTAACAGTTACTTATCTTATATTTCTTTATTAATTCCAAATTATTAAAGCAAGTTAAACAATAAAGAGATGTTTTTCTTGTAACACCATGGTTCATAGTACTAGACGCAAATCCAGACAATATTTCAGTGGAACACATGCATTTTGAACAGAGGTGGCCTCTTGCAATTATTAAACAAGAACAAATCCACCATCTTTCCTTGTTTTAAAGCATATCCTACAGCACAACTGGTGCCAAGAGTATTGCTCTGACTTCCTTTGGACCACATCAGCGAAGCTGAGAGGGAGGTCTTGTCACTTGGGCGGCCCAGGACCTCCTTACACACAGTCCAAGCTTGCACACTAGAATGTCACTTCAGGTCTGCTAACACAGTGGTTTGACCTTGCCCCCAGAGGCAGGCTCCATTGTCTTTAGAGACAGATGTATTCCAACAAAAAAAGCTCACCTAAAGTCCTAAATTTGATATAACAAGCTGGTTGGGGGCCATGGTACAAGGAGAAGGACCTGACCCCTTCCTGCTACATGGAGATTTTGGTCTAGATCGTCTCCTCCTGAGACGTTAGCCATGGAGGAGAAAACATGCAGACACCCATATGAAACCTGGAACAGCCATTTCAACAGGCTGTCACAGAGGATAGAAGAGAAAGGACTATTGTTACTTTTGGTGGCTCCTCTCCTCGATTCCCCTCCCCATCTCAGCTGGCTGTTAGAATAACTAGTTACTAAGAATCTGAATCTGAGATTGTTTATTTCATCTTCTCCTGATCAGTTTTCCTTTTGTGTCACACCTCTTTGTAAGCCTGTGTGTGTGTGTGTGTGTGTGTGTGTGTGAGAGAGAAAGAGTACTGCAAGCCACTCTTTTTTGGGCTGAAGAGTAGATTGAAAAAACACTTAAATAAAAGTAAAATAATACCAGCTGGGGGGATTTCCAGTGGAGATCCAGTGGAGAAGGAGTTAAAGCCACCATCACTTATATCACAGCTTGTTCTCCCACCAAAGCTTGTGACTGCCTTGTCAGGATAGCCAATCACAGCTGTAACATCTATGGGGTTTTCTGTGGATTGAGGTTTATTCTGATTCAGCAGAAAATTGCTTTCCTGGGGAAAGCAGCGGGCCAAAAGAAAAACCTCTTAGACCTGTGCTTAGAAATCATGGGACAAACAGAAGGGTGAATGAGCCCCTAGTTGGACCTTCAGAAAGAGGGGAAGAAGAAACAGCAGCAAGGTGTCCACTGCTGGGAACTTGAGAGCTAGACTTGATGTCTGTCCTAAACCCCTGGCTTACCTGGCAGCAAGTCAGTATGTCCAGTCCAGGGTCAATCCACATGTCTAAAGTCCAAACTGAAGCACAGTCCCACAGAGTTCCAGGAGCACCCAAGCTGAGCCCCATCAACATGGACAGTTGAGCAGACACAGCACCCCCAGCTCTGCTGCCCTTTTATACTCTGCATGCTGATTGCAGCATCTGGGCTTGATGAGGCATGCGACCCTCACCTGTTCCAAGCCTACTCCAGCTGAGGAATCACACACCAAGCCCCACCTGGCCAGCTAGGGAGCTGGGCTCTGGGCCCTTGCCTCCCTCAGCCTCCTGGAGTATCCCATATGCTGCTCCTTCTGCCTCAGAGCCTGTCGAGTTTGTGAAGACAGGGCCCCCTCTGGCTCTGGTGATGGGTCCTGCTGTTCTGGTTCCTGTGCACTGACCCTCATCCTCTTGTCATCCTCAGTCACCCCATGAATACTTCCTACACCAACCTTCCCTTCCCCATCCCCAGCTTGCCCCAGTGTGTCCCAGTCCTGGCTACATCTCTCACCGGGATCCTCTTCCTCCTCCCTGTAGTTCTGCCAGATCATGACAATGGCCTTTGTTTGCTGCTGCAAAACGGTAAGTGTCAATGTCTATAAATTTCTGAGTGGTCTTGCTACACTGACCCTAAAGACATCTCTACTTAGAAGCAAGTCCCATTGTTTTCCATGAAAGTAAACACACTTAGGATAATTGCTTAAGAACTTCAGGCTTTGGTCTATGCTGCCGCCGCCGCTGTACATAATGACATATCTACTGGAAAAATGTCTTTCTAGACGTAGATTAGCCTTGTGGTTTAAAATGATAGCTTTAGAACTGCTGAGGTCACGCTAATCCTCTGTAAACCTAATAAAAATATTGTTACCAACAAAAGAGGGTGACCCAAATAGTGCTTTGCTCACTCTCGCACACATTCCATGAAGGTTACATGTACACATCGGCCTGGGCACATTTGGCGGCAGGGCAAGAAATATGGAGGAATGTTTGGAACTTAAAAAAAAAATTATGTGATACTGCTGAAAAGGGCTGCTTTTGCCCATATAAGTAAATGGAGTCTGACTGTGACCCCATTTAAATTTATTCCAAATGGTGATGTCATTTCTGGCATCTAAAGCAGGTTCCTGCAGTTTTAAAAC